TGACATGCTTATTTCATGCAGAGGCACCAAAGACTGCGAGGGAGGGTTAAAACATCAAAAACTGTTATTTCCCACTGGAAAAGAAAAAAATCAGTGAGTGAAACATGTTTCTCAGTGTGAAGCTTTTCATTAAGAGATTGGCATGGTGTGATATGAAAGAAGAAATCAGGGGTTACACTGTTTTCCTAACAAATGAGGAGATTTTCTTAATGCTGAGGCACTTGCAACTCGATTTTCCTCTGTAAAAGTCAAGGTTTGATTGTAGTTCCTGCATTATTATTTATAGTTTAGCAGTTATACATGCCATGTCCTTGGCTGTGGCATTGCAGTTTGCACCATCTATGTCTGCTTCCTAAATTTATTGATCTCATTAGAAGATAAAAATGACAAAGATAGCTCATAATACTTCTGAGAAATGTAAAACCATTAGCAGGTCATTGTCAAAGTTATAACATGTCCTTTTAAGCTGCTTAGCAAACTGGTGGCAGCCTATGATACAGGGATTAACCTGTGCCAGGAGTGACTGAGTGGATCGCAGTGGATGGTTAATATTCAGCCTGCCTACAAAGCTTTGAAGCTGCCTCACAAAATGATACAATGAAGCGATAAACGGAAATGCATTAAAAACAAAGGGAACAGAAGTTTTTCCTTTGCTCTCCTTTATCTTGGTCTCTGACATATAAGAAGCAGAATGGGTGTTAGAGCTTTGGTCTGAAATTGGAGTTGCTTTTTCGAGTTGGGTTTTACTTCCCCAGGCGAAGGAGCCTCCTGGGCTTTGCTCTCTGGGTGCAGGCTGACCTTGGCTGAGACCCTGCATCAGCTTTTCCTGTGGTGGGACCTTGGAGGTGCTATCCTAGAGCCGTGTTTAAGGTATATGGTTTTAATAACGAGTACTTCAGACACACGGTGCACAGCTGTATTTTGAAGCCAGCATTTGTCGCCCTGGGCGTAACCTCTTCCATACTGCCCAGTACACCCACCAGTGCAATGGGCATAGCTGCATAGCCAGATTTCCTGCTTTTTTACAGGAGAGCCATCATCTGGATTGTTATTGTTATTGTTTACATTTATTCCCTTAGAGAAATGGCTGCAAGCACTGATTGATTATGTTACTGCTTACTGGACTGTTTGGGTTTACAGAGAACATTGTTAAACTGGGTGGACCATATACTGCTGTATAAGACTTGGGCTGGGAGCCCAGGTTTTCTGCGTTGGTTCTCAGGGATAAGAGCAGGATAGGTGGTTAAGGAGAGAAGGACTTCAGCAGAAAGACTGGTAACTAATGAGTCTCTTCAGTGTCTCACCTGACTCTTCACTCATAATAGAGGCCCATAGCATAAGCGTGTTCAGACACAGTTACTGCCAAATCCTTTGCAGGTAGGTTGGACACCCAGAGGTAGGCTCTGGCAAGAGAAGTAAGAGGGAGAAGAGAGAAAGAATAGAAACCACTTTGCTACTGTTGGGCATCATGGGACCTGATTTACACCAACGCGTTACTCTCTTTCAGGATCATTTTATATGCACGTTGCAGTAACAGGAAAACAAGTGTTAGGACAATGAAGAATTAGCCTAGACGACAGTTTACACATTACAGCAGGAAAGAATGAGTATTATAACATTATTAATCATTTCAGTTATTCATTCAATTTTTAACATATTAATGACTATTTGTTTATTTTACTTATTGGGGAGTCATAATTGTCTGGAAAGGGACCCAAGAGCACTGGCACACAGGCTTCTCCTAACAAAACTTGGTTCTCTTTTCTGGTTCTATCTACATAGTACTCATTTTAATTTGATGCAACTGTGCAGTCTTGGCTTGACACACGAATCTATAAATTAAGTGTCATACTCCTATATTTTCTACCTCACCAAGGTGGTTTTGGGTTAACAGATGAATTTCAAATACTCAGAATGCTTCATAACCATGCTGTATAATTATTAATGTGTATAGGCATTCTCAACCATTAATTGCACTATCATTGTAATCTGGTCTGCTAGCATTTGATTGTAATAGAAATATTGTTTTCTACTTGATTTAGCAAAACAATCTTCAAAGTTTCAAGAGCTATTTTCCAAATCACAGATCTTGTAAATGCTGTTATGGGATGCAGTCAATAAAGAATGAAAAAATGCTAATATCATTAATAAAATTGTGTGAGGAAAGCTGATTCAATTTCCTAGAGAATTCTGAGCTTTAAAACAAAATTGTTTGATTCTAATTCAGATTGGAAAAAACCCCAAACATACTAAAATATAAATTCTCCTGTCAAAGACTAAATTCTAGAGGCTCTGGCTCTGAAGGTCTTTGCCTTGTTTTCACATCCAGTCACTGGGTAGAGAAAATTCTTCAATTTCTGTCCCAAGAACAGCCTCCCAGCCTGGTTTAGCTGGGGCTATGCAAAAAGCTGACGGCCATTGACTCTAATACCATTCCCGTGGTTGGTGCTCCAGACCTAGGGATGTTTCCCATGGATTTCTATCCCGGAATCCTGTAATCCTTTTGCTGAATGTCCTTATTCCTGAAGGATTAAGGCAAACTTGAAAGGTTGCAGAAAAGAACAGCAAGAACAATTGAATGTCTGAAAATCCTGCCTGACATTGAGAGATTAAAGAAGCTCAGTGTACTTAGATTGTCTGAGAGAAGGTTAAGAGGTGACTTGATCATGGTCTCAAAGTCCCAAGTTGAGAAACACTTTTCCAGCACACGGGGGAACCTCTAATTTAGTAGACAAAGCCATAGCAAGATCCAGTGATTGAATGCTTAATCTGGGCAAGTTCACACAAGATGTAACAAGTATGAGATTGTAGCAGCTAAGAGAGGGTACTGGTGGAGTCTCAGTCATTTTAAGATTTTAAAACCTGTACTGGCTAAAAGCTGTTCTACCTTGACCAGAAATTATAGGGTTTATGCAGAAGTCCTTGGGTGAAACGCTATGGTATGTGTTGTGCCTAAGGGCAACCTATACAATCATAATTTCAGAGTATATTAATTCTTTAGCAATGAATGTTCCCTACTGCTACATAAAACGGGCCCATATAACATATTAGCATTTGCAGTTTTCTAGCCCTAACGTCAATATTCAGAAGCTCGTCAAAACCCTTTTGTACCTCTGTATGCTTAGCCCAAAGAAAAGGAAAGCTGGTTAATAAAAAAGGTATTTTTAGCCTTTCTGAAATCTTCTTATGCCAATCCCTAAAAAGAAACAAGAATTTTCTCCAAAAATGCAAATGCTCTGTCTAGAAGCAAGAGTATCGTTTTCAGTTTTAACTGCTTCGTCATTATGTGTCACTCCCTATGTATAGTAAGTGCTGCGTGACAGTTGTTTCTAAGAGACAATCAGGGACTTTTCCAATAACTACATAATTATATTTCATAACATATGAATTTGTGAAACATGGGGCTTTATGTGTTCAAAGCACCCAGCGGTTGTTAATTAATGCTCACAGTACCTCTATGGAACAGGTAAGATGATATAATAAAGGCAGATGGACCTCCAGACCAGACAAAGCATTGCTAGCAGAGAAAGGAACATTGCATGTTAAAGTCTCCAAATCAAAACATCATATTAGCTATATGACTCTAGAAACACTGTTTTTAGTATTATACCCTGTAACTGCATCTCTTGCAATGGTTATTAGCTATATGACTCTAGAAACACTGTTTTAGTATTATTGGCCTACTACACTAATACAAGGGGTAATGCCGTGGCACTCTGCATAATTTGTCAAGATCAGCAACATTAAGTTCTGTAGTTCTTACAAGGGCTTGACCTTACTTATTGGGCTAGTCCTAACTGAAATTAAATCACTGCATGAAAAGTATGTTTCATTAAAAATAACTGTGAAGAAGAAGTGGTACTGCTTATTTTCAAAGTTTGCTTTTATTTTACAGATCAATGGCATTATGATATGGGAGTAATGTCCATAGAGCAGCAGGGGCTAAGTGCTTACTGTGCCAAGCACAGCCCTTGCTGTTAAAAGAGTGCTTTATACAAGTGACTACTTAGGTAACCAATACTAGGCAAGCATAAATGAAATCTATGAAAGACCTTCCAAACTATTTAGAGTCCATTCTTTCCTTTTGTATGCAGAAGGGAAGTGGACATGTCTGCTGCAGAGGAATATCCTTTCACAAGGGATTTCTATGACCATGGGGCTCCACACCTACCCACAGCCTTTGTCCCTGCTCCTTCACCCTACATGTCTGGCAGAAGCATTTTGAAATCATGTGTAGGTGCTGGGATGGCAATGCACAGTCCAACCAGGCCTTAATAATGAATAAATCTCATGCATGCCAGACCCGAAGGAGGAACTGATAGTCACCTATCTCATCCAGAAACTTTTCAGTGCCATGTTATGCTTTTATATTAAGAAAACTGTATGTTCAAAACGTGACTTCCTCTCTGGATTTATTTTGCCCTGAGTTTTGGGCACGATCAGGCATGGCTTCTGGACTGCTTTCTCCTTGGGACTGTTACTGTACCTTGATGATTCAATAGAAAACTACTGAGAGATGGACTGAATAGGGGAAATGGGTGGACTGCTATACAGTTACTTCAAAGACAATCACAAACATATAATAATATATTTCAGAGATGGATGACTGGATGAATAATCTCATAGCAGGCATTCTGAGTTTGTATTTTGACCACTTCTGATGGAGACTAATCCAAAAACCTAAGAAAATACAGATTCTACTGGGCTGCCACTATGTGTGTTTTGAATTAGAAAGGGAAAAATCTTCCCCCCCCAAAAGACCAAGTTTCCTTTCCTCTTTTTGGTTTCTGGCACAAGACATGCAAATGTGGGAGGGAGAAAATATCCCGCTCAAAAGAAGAAAGTATTGGGAAGTCAGCAATATATAAAAAAGAAAAGTTTCTTGAGAAAAAACCCACCAATGCAAACTCAGTGTTTCACCACAAAATGAAAAGTAAGGTGCAAAGAAAGCAGCAGTCGCAGATCTGTTTTTTTCATGTTTTCAACTCACCTCATTCCAGATAACTTCTGGTCAGCAACTTCCATGCCACACGGGCTCATCTCAAAGGCTTATGCCATGAAGAGAAGAAGCACCACCAGTTTTGCAGAGTATGGTCCTGGCAGGTGGAGAGATGAAAGGCCTTTACAGGCAATGATCTACAGAGCAAAAGCAGATCATTACCTCATGAATGAGGTAGGTTATTCTTGTGAGAAGTGAACAAGAATCTTGACATTGGAAAACACAAAACAATCAATCTGGTAAGATCTGTGCATTCTCTGCATTTTCAGATGCTTTTTTTAAAGTTCATCTATATTATGGTATCATTTTATGGCTTGCCAGTGCAGCTTACTGATCATATAACAGCCCAATAATCTAACCATTCGCAAAAATCAATAATGAACAGTAGTCAGCAATTGAAATGGGCTGGTCCATTCCCTTTGAGGAGGTACACTAGCACTTCCTATAGAGGGGAAACACGAAATGGAGGAGGAACTTTAGCATTTCTGGAAAAGTACATCTGAATTATTGGTTAAGCTACTTTCAGTAGCATTTGGATGCTGGATATTAGCTTTCTTCTCAATTCCAAAATCACTCAGCTCAAAAGAAAAGAGAGTGCAAGAATTGAAAGCAGTGGGAGAATGGAGGTTTTCTGCACAGGTTTTGAAGGGGAAGGTGGGGTCTGAACTCGTAACCTCCATCATTGAAGTCTGGGGCTATGGTGCATACTGAGAAATGGTATCTAGCCAGAGAGCGCTGCTCATAGGGAAGGGAATAAAGCAAATAACATACAACTGCTATTAGTCACCACCATAACATCATTTCCAAGTCTAAGCACTTTGGGTTTGGGGGTATTTTATTAAGAATATCACATTTTTAGAAGAAGCAGATGTTTTTGTGAAAAGCTGACAGTAGCCCAACACAAAAACCTTTCCAGAACTATTAATGAGAAGTAAAGTTTAGTTATGTGTTTTCAACCAAAAGGTTGTTTGTTTGTTTTTTTTAACTTCCAACCCTAGCTGCTGGATCAGAGTTCCTAAATTTTGCAGTGGGATAATTTAGGAAGAACCTTCTTTTGTGAACAATATGACAGAAGTACCACAAGAAGCACCAGTAATGAAATTGTGCAGAACTACCAGCACTTCATCCTCATAAGTTGATTTCTAATACTTATTGCATCCCATTCTCCTCGTTTTCTGCTACTCTGTAATGGCTAATTAAAAACACGAGGATAAATGGTCAGCTTTTCCAGTGGAAGTTCATCAGGGAAGTCCGCTAAAGATGCAAACGTCTGTTCGTAGAAAATCTGGCAAAAGAAATACTGGAGTAACATAGCTTACAAGTAATACAAAGCTATTAGGAAAAATAAATGGTGGAAAGAGTTGCAGAGGAATACTATGATACCGAATAACTGTGTGATAAAACACCAGATACAATTCAGTAATAACAGTGTAAAGCAATGCTAACTTTAGGTACACAGTAATGGCTTTTGGACTGGCTCTCACCACTCAGAAGAAATCCTTGAGTTCTCCAAAAACGTCGGCCCAGGGCTCAATACAGATGAGGGCAAGAAAGGTGGTCAAATGTGTGGAATATCTTCCACAGGCAGAGTGGTGAAATAGTCTAGGGGTCTTCAGCCTGACGGGAGGAAGTGATAGAAATCCCGGAGATCATGACGTGTGAGAGGAAGGTGAGTAAAGAATGGTTGTTCAACCCTTCTCATTACACTGCAACTAGAAGGGATCAAACGTAAACTACTGTATAGCAGGCTTGGAACAAATAGACAGTGTGTAGTTAGACTGTGCAACTCATTACTTCAAGAGTACAAAAAAAGTTTAGACACACACAGAAAGCTGTTAAACAGGTTCATAGAATAAAAATCCATTGAGAGCTACTAAAATATCTTCACATTGGAGAGTCCCTGACTACACATCGTGAAAGGATGGGTGAGTGATCTGAGAAACTATGAGTGTATATTTGCCTTGTTCTTTTACTCTTCCTTAGCTCCATTGATGGAAATGTGACAAAAGACTGTAAGGACTCTGTCTCATGCAGAAAAACTGTTCCCTTGTTGAAGGGTACTTTCAGATATTCTGGTTTGTAATCTATATGATATGTGAAGTATATGTGTGAATGTGTGTGGTAGCTGGTGACGGTTGCTGTGACCACAGTGAAGAGATGTTCAAAGCAGAGCCACTGCTTCCCAGTCACAGCTTCCTCATTGTGCCCTTTGGTGCTAATGAACATGAGAAGAGGGAGGGGAATTCAGAGTTTCTGTCTCTCTTACTCAATTCCAGTAAAGTTGCGCCAAGAAATGGTAAAACTTACTTCTATGAAATGGCGAGGCCAGTATTTTGTGGCTTGGTTGCTTTTTTTTTTTTTTTTCCTGTCCTGATTTAATTTAACCAGGCAGACAAACTTCAATAATTCTCATCACTTCTTGACTCACTGTTTTATGTTGATGTTTATTCATGTTCTCCTGATTGTACAACTCACCAATTCCCCCTCTTTAATGTGTTGATACCAATGTTGAAGGATGGTATAAAAAACTGGAGCAAAACATGGTCATTTACTCCTCTGGTCTTGTTTGTTTGCTGCAGAAGCACTTGCACTGACACAGATAGACTTTCCTTGAGCATGGAAAGAGATAAGGTTGGGGGTTTCTGTTTTATTTGTTCTGTACCACACATATTTTCCCCACCCACTCCCTCACTCACTTTTATATATGCTCACACACAGATGTGCTCGCATACTAGCAGGTTTCAGAGAATTTCACTCAGTTTAGGAGAATGTGACCAACGTCTGGGATGAAATGTTTATATTTTCAGCATCACGAGTCATTTCCACCAATCTTACCATCACAGGCGGGTGTTTCTGGGAAGGTGCTAAAGCACCTATCGCTCAGCATTTAGGACATTGTGAAAGTAGTGCTACGAAGAGTTGGGGTGCATTGTGTTGTCAGAAACTATTTGCTGCCTGCCCAGATTACGCCCATGTTCAGAAGTGGAGAAGTGATTTAGCTAATAGGTAGTGCAGTTGCCTGTGGTTTTCTGCCTATTCCTTTGTTGAAAATGTTGATATGGCTCATAGCTCTGCCTCATTGCCGTACCTTTGACTACTACTTTTCATGTGGGAATCTGCACATAGATAATTCAAGTGTTTTTATGAACAGAGGTATTTTTCTGAATCTTTGCTCAAGTGTTCTCCTGAAGCTGGGTGTCTCTGCAGATAGATGGGTGCATCTGCAAGTTTCAAGATGTGCAGTTTCTGTGGGTGTGGTGGGATGAGTGTGGTGGGGTGAAAGAAGAGAAGAAACGGCTTCTGGTGCCTCACATCATTATCTGTTCTCTTACAGGTTCTGCTTTTTAAACAGTGACCTCAAGAGAAGCTCTGCAGGATGAAAGGGTTATTATGTGGCTGGACACCTTGAGTCACCTGGGGTAAATTACTACAGTCTCTCAGTTATTAAGTTAAGCCCCTGTGTTCTGGTGAAATCAGTGGAGCTTGTTTTCACTGGTGTAGTATCTGAGCCATCAAGTTTAATGAATCGTTACAAATAATTTAATCTGCACTTGCAGGTGCTATTAAAACATTTTTTTTTTACCGAGAGATTTTTTTTTTTTTTTTTACCTAGGAAGAGCAGTCTCTCTGAGTCACAAACATGAGTTTAAATATGGAAAAGTGGGATAGGTTTTGCTCATTAGAAAGCCTGATGCTGAATTCAATATTCCCTTCTGCTAAACTTACCTCCTCCAGAATTTAAGACTTTAAGTTGCAGGGGATAAAACATAAGGCCCGTGTTAATTGCAAATAAATAGTGCCAGAAATCTGTACAGATGGTACCTGAAGTTCACTGCTGAAGACTATCCAGTAAACTATATATAATTTGCACAACATGTATGTACAGGAAGCAGGAGAACAACTTTTTTAGTGGTTTCTCACATTTGTAAAAAAACAAAACAACAGAAAAAAAGAAATCATAAATGAACACTCTCAGTCTGTGAAACTTCTTATTTGGGAAAACACCAACCTGTATTTCTATTTATTTACCTTAATTAAATTAATTAATTTAACAAGTCTGAAGATTTCAGCATTTTACAGGATACAGGTGTAAATATCTGGCGAGTAGAGTGTATATATTAAACTACATCTACTTAGCTAGTAAATATTTTGCCGCATTAGTTTGCTCATTCCCAAGCAATCAGTTGTGAACTCCAGTGTTGTAACGGGTCCACAGGGAACATTTGTGCTTTGGTTGGCACTTAGATTAAATTCATCAAATGATTTTTTTTCCCCCCTTCAAGGCTGACATTTCAGAATGTTTTTTTTAAAAGGTTGTGTGCCAACTGCCAAAGTCAATTAATTAAATGGTAAATCTGAAATTTGTAGGGGAAGACTATCATTCTATTTTGCTGTGTGACCTTGGAAAAGTGAACATTTAATCCACAAAACACATGGTTTACCAGAGGGTCCTGATTACCTTGCATTTAAAGTAAAAGCAAAACTCCCAGAGATTTTTTGTGAGATTAGGGATTACCTCAAGGATGACATTTTACCCTGCATTTTCCTTCTGCTTTTCATATTTGGTAGTAATGAGAATATCCTTTGAGGTCCTGCTATGCTTGATAGCTTAAAGGATTCAGCACTTAGTAGTAGGAAAATGTGCAAATTTGTGGCCTCATTTTCTATATATTTGGAGGTACCCCAGGAGAATGTATGATGTACAATCCCAGAATTTGTGATTTCTATGCTGGCTAAAGAGCTTAATCTCAGATCCATAAAGGAGATCAGAGGCAAAATTCAATAGACAAGAGCAGATGGTGATCCTATTCTAAGATAACGTGGGTACTACAAATACCTCTCCAAAACACACACCTCCCAAGGAGTGTATATGCCTTCAATGGCTGCAAAGGCAGCCTGGTTTCACAGATTAGATTGGACATTACTCCTCTGTCTCTCACCCCCCATGTCACTTTTTGTACATCTTATTGAACTCCTAATACTGTATTTGAAGCCTTGCCATCATAAGGTGCTTGGAAATGAGTGCAGTGCACGGACTGTTCTTCAGCTGTTATTTTTCTGTCATTATTTTTATATTTGTTTTGCATTTATTTATGTTTTCCCTGCCTGAAGACCATGGTGCAGACCAGGACCCTGTATATGCCTGGAATAGAAACACAGCCCGAGAACAACATAAAAGACAGTGAATAGGACAGGTGGGTTGAGACAGACATAGTACTTTTCTCCCTTTGTCATTTTAAATTCTTTCATCTTGTATTTTGTTACAATTTCAAGTTCAGGGCTTGTTCCTAATTTTGCATGCCCATTCCCCACTTGTTTCATGAAAGTAGGTGTTTGTTTTTTTGGGAAGAGAAAAGCTGCCTAAAGAGAGTGGTTTCCTGCATAATGAGAAATTTGTTAGAATTTGGTCTCTAATTTGACAACTCGGCATGAGGGGGGTAGAGTTCAAGGAAAGGCACTGATCAGCCATCTGTAGTAGGGAGAAGTGGTGAAAACTGCTAGTGCCAAGGGGTTTCTTAACTACGCATCTTGTAGGAATGTACATGCTATGTATTAAGATACAGGAAGGTAATTCTTCTCAAGATTCATAATCTTGTGCCTTCTCCTACCCTTTTGCTTTATATAGTGAATATAGCAGTGGTTCTTTCTCTCGAAGTCCTGTAGTGCAATTCTTAGGACATGTTTATTCCTCCGCCACCTCTTTGTCCTGCCTGTCCAGATATGATCTCATGTTTTCCTCATTGTTCCTTCTTGTGAAAGAGACCTACAGATGTGATGGCCCAGAGAGATGAGTCACATAGGTGTGAACAGAAGTTGGAGATCTGCAGTGCTGCTTTTCTGAGCCACTGTTAATGTATTCAACCTGAGGGATATTCGATATAAAACATTAGTAAGAATGCCTCCAAGAATGAGACAAATGAAGTATGCCAAGCTGTAGATAATGCTTGAGGTCAAAGCTACTTTCATTTCCCAGCTTCTTCATACTGTAAAAATTGAAGTGTTTTTACCTGTGCCTAGAAGGAGAATCCCTAAAGGGTCTTGGGAAACTTTAAACACTTGAAATACTTCATCTGGTACCAAGGCTAAGTGATAGATGAGTGGAAGTTTAGAGTATTGATTTTTGGTTTAAATCCTATCGTCTGAAGCACCTAAAACATTGCGTGGATCTAAAACTTACCTCATGTGTCTTTAAAATTCCTTCCTGTATGATGGATTTGTTGATATTTATCTCAGAGAAATGTGTGAAACGCTCACTTATTACAGTAATAACTGTACCATATATGTACTTAGACAGATAGAAAAGGTGTTTTAAATGGCTTATAAAATCTGGCAGAGAACAAATCTCATTAATGTTTCTAGATGATCACTAGATTACCAAGTTTCCCTTAACTAATGTTGAGTGGTTATCTATATTGTTCCTGTGCAAAATGCCTGTATCTCCCTGTGAGATGTGAATCCAGTTTTCCAAGTGATCATTAAACATGAAAGAACTAAACATCCTAATTTTTTTCCCTAAAGTTGTATCTCAGCATTGTCTCCATCAGTAGCCTTGTCTGCAGGAAGTGTAAAGTTTCCTGCTATGATTGTTTGACTGCTGCCAATTATCAGATCTGCTTTTGGCAGCTTTCCCCTCAACCTGCTGATTAGCTAATGTGTGGTTACTAATACAATATGGGAAACTGGTGTAAACGAGGAAGCAAAAGATTTATTAATTTCATGTGCTAAATACTGTTTGTAATATAATTATCAATACTGTGAAGAGAAATCCTGGCTTAAGAAATAGTCAGGTTTCTATGCTTTTTGTAAAATGAGGCACAAGAATTTTGTGCAGTAAACAGGCATATTTTCCCCTTGATACACACACATAATTTTCATTAGATTCATAGATTCTAAAGGCAGAAGAGGGACCATTAGAGCATCTAGTCTAACTACCTGTAAAACACAGGCCACAGAATTTTATCCAGCTACCCTGTATCAGAATTAATAGAAAACAGGAGCCAAATCCTGAGTTGAATGTTATTCCACCAACCTGGAATAATCATAGAATCATAGAATCATAGAATCGTCTAGGTTGGAAGAGACCCTTGGGATCATCGAGTCCAACCGTCAATGCTGATTTATAACAGCTGAGAAATTGGCAGTAGACTTAAGTGACAACGAATTCTTTTTGCATAAACCTAAATGAAAATGGTCACTTATATTTCAATAACGATGTCAAAAGAACCTTGCTTGGAGTGAGTTTTTGCAGTGTATTTTAAACTTTAGAAGAATAGTTTTTTTTTCCCAAACCTTTCTGGGATGATTGTATTCCCTGTTGTAATTTAAACTTGTCCCTTCACCGAATCTCCTGAAGAAAAGGCATAAAGTTAGCAGAAGAAGAATGCTTCTCTTTAAATTGAAGCCTGTGCCCAGATTCTTATTTGTAATTAATTCATGCCCTAGGATTTTAGTGGGAGATGGAAGAGCTAAATAATGTAATAAAAACCTAGTTTTCTCAGAGCTAAGAAGAGCTTGAACTCACAAGGTCAAAGATTAAGTCTCCGAAGCTAAAATGTAGAGTCTGTGATTTCTTTCATTAGGTTCCATATTTGGCAAAACAAGATGTCTCATCACTCTTTTGTAGCCATTTGTACATGTGTGTGGATGATGTTATTATATTTATAGCAGATATAGCCTTATCATTTAGCTACAGACAGAATTCTACCTGCTCAGAGCTACAGGGTTTAAGAATGCACTCAGACAATATTGACACAGCCAACGCCATAACATCCTGCAATCTGCACAGAAACTAAGACTTTCTGCACACCAAAGCTGAACAAAAAACTTCCTTCCTGCTCCCCTAACCCAGCAGAGAGTGTTTAAAGGAAAATACCAGTGTGGGGAGAATATTCTTCAGATTCCCTCAGATTCCAAACAATTTTCTGTCATTTCTGTCTTGGGAGAAGGCAGCAAAGGCATTTCTGTTGAGCAGTACAGAAATCCGTGACTACCACGTCAACATTTGGAATACATAAAAAGAAAGACACCTACTTATTAGAGTCGCTCCTTGTGTGGATAGTAAGCAGAGAGAACCTCCTCTCATAATACTCACACTCCCAGTCATTATAGGCCAACTGCTGGTTTGGCTGATGAACAGCTGGAGGTGCTTTATATTTGCTCTAAAAAAAGTAAACAGACTACATACATTTTAATACATTCCCCATATATCTTTCCCCTAGCACTTTTCTTCTTCAAAGCTGGAACTCTGTTTCAGCACGTCACAGCACATTTTGGTGCCACTGTCACATGGAGAAAAAAATGAAAATAACTTACTGCACAGATAAATATCAGAAGACATGTTCTGAAGCTTACCAGTAAACCAACTTCTCTCTGTCTCTTTTTTCTTTAAGCAGGATTAAAAGAGCCAACCCCTCCTCGAGAAACAAGGTTTTGCCATTTGTCCTTACCCAGAAGGATTTAAGTGTCCCCCATCCTTTAGGAAGTCCTCGTTTACCTCTATGGTACCAGTAAGTATTTGGTAGCACCACACTTGCCTTAAAGCTTGTAGCAACATCACATGCTTTTGCCTGCTGCAGACAGCATCTGCTTCATGAGGTGCACCCAGCTCCTGAACTGTTCTTCCTACATCTCCTACATCTTCCTACATGATTAGACCGAAAGTTCATTCAGCATTCCATAAGAAAAGAGAAAAAAAATACCTCTATATCTCTTTTATGCAGCCACACAAGGCCAATCAGCTAACAATGCCATTTTAAATATTGTCCTTTCATGAACATCAGCCTGTTAGCTTGTGTTAGATGCTACTGTGAAGTGGATCCACAGGAATTAAACACTGGGAACAGTGGCTTATGAGTGAGGGCAACCTTTTGCAGCACACTGCCAAGTTTGGTGATGTATTGCAGCGTGTAGAGGCCACTGCCCATTCTTATCCTGCCTCATTATGGTATCTTCTACCCAAAGAAAGATGTGTGTAGAATGTGCCAGCATATTTGCATTATGATACAAGGTAAGACAAGACAAAACGTGAGTGCCATGGAGAAGCCAGACAAGAGGGGCTCTCACTGAGGTCTGAACTGTGTGTTGTGGGTAACTCAGTATAATCCTGTGTTTATTGCTCGGTTTGGTCCTTAATTTCTCAGGCCACTAGGCTGACCTCCAAGAAACTTTAAAAATATTGTTTTCCAAAGTCTGAAGTAAGGCTATTGTTACAGAAAAATTGGCTGTGGTTTATGGTCTTGCCAATTTAAATTTAGCTTCAGTGAAGGTGACATGAAATCTGTATAGTATAGCCTCACTGGTGAATAAAAAGGCTCCTTCAGCCGAGTCATATATAAATATCAGTAATATAAAATTCTGACAATTGTAAGAGCATTGCATTCACAGAAGCTTTGCACTTTCAGTCCAGTGATAAAACATCAGTCTGTATATAGTTCCATTTTGTCGTTTGCTTGTGGAGTACTTCTTTCCTACACTAAAATTAACATTGAAAAGACTTTCTTACTTTTGGGGAGAAGAGCACCATTGAAGAGAAATTCTCCCTGGCAAATTAATAGATAAGGTCTGCCGTGCTAACTCAAAAGCAAGTAAAAGGTAAAAATTGAATCTCTGTATCACAGTTAAGTCATTTTTCTAAACTGAGGAAATAATATAGGATGAATTATATAGGATAGATTTTCTTACATAAAAAGTGCTTTTTAAACTTTAAAAGATCCATAACTAATATTGGGAATGGTTATAAATGACAGACTTCTCTTTTAGATTATGTTGCATTTATTACATTCTACCAGGACTTTATGGAGATTCTCAAGGAATTAAAGTTATATTTATGATAAAAACATGGAGCTGCTTCTAAATAGCATTTTCATCATATTAACTGTTGCCTAGATAACAGGCATATCTCCTCGAGCACCTCTATTCTGGTTTAGCACTACAGCTTGCAAATTAATACAGTCATTATAAGACAGCAAAGCTATATCACTTACCATTTCATTATTGTTCAAATCAAAATCCATATTTTTTCAGTTTCCCTAGGGTTACAAACTGGATAGGGAAACGTTATCATCTTGCAAAATAATCTCTCAAGACTCGCTCTCTTTGGTGTTAAGAGGAGCAGTTAATCATATTACAGTAATTTTCATATTAATAGGTCCTGTGCAAAGAGAGAGTTAATGCTCTCCTTCAACATTCAATCCTCCAACAGTTTTTTATATATACATATATTTATATATGTGTGTATGTGTGTGTATATATATGTAGATATATATTAATCTGCTTGGAACTAGATTAGCACAAAAGATATCACGTCCTACTCAGTATATGAATCAGGGTCAAATCAACAGCATACCCTTAAATTTTTAATCAAAATGGCAATCTGTCATCCCTAAGAGAGTTAGGTAATGTTTAAGTGACTAACATGAATACATACCATGTTTTAATGGAGAATACAGGGGAGAACTTACTGAAGCACAGTACTTTGCACATACTTTACTCCTTACATGAGAAGCTGTGATCCTACAGCATGTGTATCCACTCTAAAATGAAAATCATCTTTAGACCTGAATTCTATTTTTTGAGGGATTAATGCATCTTTTACTTTTCAGATCTTGCATACTGTAATTTTCTGAAGTCTTCTCGTATAATGGTGTACATGTAATAATGTAATGTTGTTAGTTAAATTCAGAGCTTTAACTTTATGCATGAGCATTTTCTGGTATTTTTTTTTTCGCAGTCTGTTAACCTGAGTAATGCGGTCTGTTCAGAACTTGAGTGTGAATTTAAGGAGCTGGCCAAGGGGTCAGGTGTTTGCCTAATTTTCCGTAGCCTGAATGTGAAAGAAAGGTGGGTCAGGTCTGCAGAGACGTGGGAAGACACGGCTCTGCTCCGCTCCTGCTTTGCCCCGGTGGGAAACCATTCCACACAGGAGCCCCAGCGCTGCCCAGGTGTCGTGGCTAATAAGCCCCATGGAGAGTGGGATGGAGACCTGGAACGCAACGCCGACTTAATGTGTCCGTCTGGCTCCCGGAGCCGGCTGGCTTAGCCCAGGAAGGAGCCCACTGCCTCAGCTTGGACAGCGAGGGAAGATGCTCCCTTGGTAAACCTTTACTTTCTGTCAGCATCCGCTGTCCTTCTGCTAAGCTCTCTCGGCGTCCTTCATTATTCTTCCCACTGCTGTTCCCAGGGGGTCTGATTAAAATCAGTGGAAAGCTCCCTTGGATTTTACTGGCTTTGGTGCTTGGTCTCTGCTCCTTAATTTGCCTTTCTCATCTGTTTCTAACTCCGCTTTCTGTTTAGACTCACTTTGCCACATTCTTTGCATCCCTCATCTTCCCCCACTTTTGTATACTTTTATTCCTATTCCTGACCTGCTCGACAACTGTTAAACTACTTAGGCAGTGAGTAAAATACAGATTAAAGAAGTGCTTTCAGCTTTGAGCTAAAATGTGTTGACAGGACTCACAAGAGGCCTAGAGGAGACATGGAAAAGTGGCATAATTTTGGGAGAAAAAAAGCTAGAAAAATGATTCTCATCAGATCTGAGGACTCACTGTGATTTTGTGGCAGCACTCCTGGCTGCCTTAATGAGGTCACGAGTCCACTAATAGTGTGTAGGAACAGTTTTAATTGGTGATAATTTTAACACTGTTAAACGAAACTTAAAGGCAGCTGGAATTTAATTCTATCTGCACTATACCGGTGTAAATCAAAAGTAATGTTATTCAAACTTATGTTCCTCTTGATTAGCAGCACTTTAAAAGAAATCAGACTGTAACGCACTCCCGAATTTCAGATATCATACAGTATTTCCATTTATAACCTGACATAATTCCCACACAGCATATGGTATTAATCTGGTGTAAACACCATGTTATGATGATACCCGAACACATACAGCTGACATGAAAATGTCTTCAACTACAATATTTCCAAAAGCAATTATGTCTATATGGTTGGTAGTTAGCTTGCTGTGTGAATTTTTATTTCTTTTTCGTACGTACATGAAAGTACACAGGATGAAACATGATATATGAAAAAGAAGATATTTTCATTGTTTGCAGGGAAAGAAAAAAAATATTGAGAAAGGTCGACTTTTTTTGGCCTGTCAGGCTTTCACAAGGAAATCTCACCTTGATGTGAACACAGTATTTTTCAGTGCTGGTATTTTCTTAGTTTGCATCAGAGGGTGGATGTGTAGAGTACTGCAAGGAATACAGGGACACAAAGTGAAAATGATAACATTTTTGTAAGAGAAAATTGTCTCCAAAATAACTATTTTGGGAGATTTTGATATTCTCATTGAAGGTAACACTCCTGTTGATGTGTGTATGCCCCAGACATCACCCTCTGATGGTAGCCAGGCATTTTTCAATGTTCCTTGCTGAGAGGGGCGGGAGACCAGCTTCCCTTGCCCAGGTAGATGCATGTGTGAAATCCTTAAAAAAGTTGCCTAACATTGGAGTTGAGCCAATCATTTTCTTAAAAGGAGATAAATAAAAGCATGTCTTTTGGAAAGTAGACGGTTCCGATGGTAATATTTTTGCTTGAACACTTGCCAGTAGGGCCAGATTCACAGCTGGTGTAAACTTTTCTAGTGCCATTGAGTTAACATTAGTTTGAGATGGAAAATTCATTTATTAGGATGAAGTGCAGGTTTTCACAGATTGTTCGTAGCTCCACCTGCTACCCACACTCCCTATTTTTTTAGCCTTTCTGAGTACCTTTTTTTTTTTCCTGAGGATCCTTTCTTAAATTTATTAAAAAAGACAAATGAAATAAGGTAACCTCACTATCACGTTCTAATAAGGAAAAGGAACTGCCCAACAATCCAGTTCTGCACTCGTTAGTATCAGTATAAATTTGCAATGACTTCATTTTAATTACTTCATATTTGCACTCCAGCGAATAACAGTATGTTAGGCTGTCGATGGCTTTGTAAAGTGAGCATTTCTAGCTCATCCCTATTATTCAGTACAATATCTTAGTTTTAAGAACGGGACAGCTAAACAAATTGTAATGGGGCGAGTGTAAATCTGGAATAACTCCACTGAAAATTTACACCAGTGTGACTAAGAATTGGATTTAGCCCATTTGGTTGAATTCCTTTTAATGGCTTCTGCATGTTCAAGCATCCACCAGAGATTAGATGGAGCCCAGCAGACTCGCTGTTATCTGCCACACAGGCAGGACAGCGGAGGTGAAAGGGTAACGCATTATCACACTGCGCCACCTGGCCCATCCAACACAATTTGAGCAACCATAATTGTATTGATTACTTCTTGTGCTCATGACTAATGACCTCTAGCTGCAACCTTGCATTTTCTAAATCTTTTATATTCTGATTTAATAATAAGATTTGATTAAAAATTGCCATTAGCCAATGCCAATGATTAGTCAGCAGGACCGAATGCCGCCAAGTTGCAATGAGTTTCATTATTCTGGAATTAAAAAGGACAGAGAACTTCTCTGGGTTAATAATACAATGATTCTGTCTCAATCAGGAATGAAAGAAAACAACTCTAATGTACAAATGTAGCAAAATGTATGGCTATTACTAATAGCTGCATTTTACAGAGAAGTGTTTGAAGAATTAAAGGGACTTTGTCACAGGTGGTGGGGACAGTTTGCTTTTACTTTTTATATGTGATTGGAAAGCCAGTGTCAGATGGTGTGTGAGGGGACATTTTCCTAAAGAAAGTCATTTCCTTTGATGAAACAAGAACATAGGGTTTATTCAGTTTCTCCATGTACATCTCTGCTACAACAAAACAATGCAAAGTGTATGTAGGCAAAAATGAATTGTGGTGGCTTTAGAAAATGACAAGGGGATTTGTCCAGGTTATTTACCTTCTGAGAATGTATTAACCTATGATATTTATTTATTTATTTTCAAAATGATGACTTAATATTTAAACTAAAGGATGCATTCCTTTTGTCACATCTTCCACAGAAAATAAAAAAAGTATGCTGTTTCCTTTCAGGAAGGCAAAATATTTAAATGCATACTAATTTTTAGACATGTAGCTAAATTCTGCTGAAGTGGTATTTGGTTAATGATATGCTTAAGTGTGCACCTATGAGCTCTGCTGTCTCTGAATCAAGGCCCTGGTGTTTCTGAAGATGGGGTGCACTAGAGAAGATGCTCTACGGGGGAAACATCTGCTGTGGGATGTGGTGTTCCCTCAGATCCCGTTGAAGCTGACTGAAGGACTGGGTGACATTGAAGTCAATGAGAGCTGAGAGCACTCAGCACCTTCCAGGTTGAGACCTCTAAATAATAAAACACCCTCGAGGCACAGTAAAAGCATTTCCCCCTGTCACACAGGAGCAAGAAACCTGTCCTGTCTCACTTTCATCCTCCAGAAAACAAAACACGTCCCAAACCTGAGTTCATCAAGATTTTTAAGGTATTTGAATAAAGAAATACCTCTCTTAATTGCTGCGTACCTAAAATCTTCTGCCACCTTCAGGAAATAATTTTTAAACATACTTTGTTAATATAGTTTGCTTTTGGCACTGTTTTCCCCGCTTATTATAAGTGCCTTTAAAATGTTTCCATTAATTAAGGCTGCTATTATGGGCTACATCAATTTAGTAAAATTACAGAAAGAAGTGCTGCCGACACATCTGCCATTGACTTCTGTTTGCCTGAGCATTTTGTACCCCCGTGAATAGCACAGTGGGGAGAGAAAGCCGGCGAAAGAGAATGATAGAAAGAGGTGAATTCTGTCCAGCAAAACATGGAGGTCAGGAGAGACTCAGCTGATTACAGACTCATGTTTTCCAGGATTGCACGAGGAGAGTGGAAAGTTGGTTGGACTCTAGTTATAACAGAATAGCCCTCTTAAAAAATACTAGTTGAAATGCTCAGAAAATAAAAATGCATAAAATGTGAGTTTGAATATATGAGGTTGTGCTTTGGGGGAGCAGGCAAGAAGGAGGTTGATCTGAACATCTCAGTATTAACTTACGGAGGTTTTTATACACCCTCAGCTGAAAGCATTACTAGCCAGATTATAATTATAATTACCTTGGCTTCATCTCAGTGTTTATCTGCCATGACACCCACCCAGCCACCTGCCTGCTATTAATTCATTCAACACTAACTTCATCTTTTTTCCTTTTATCTTGTTTTTTTCCTGTTATCCTAACTTTAAAAAATGTGTCCGTTATTAGAAACAAACTAACACAATATTTGTTTGTCCATGACATCATGTGTTCCTTTGTTTAAAAAAAAAGAAAGAAAAAAAAGCAACCCAGAATTCTTCATATTATAAAAATAACCTGTTTGTATTTTAGAGTGAAAACTGGAAAGATCTGGCATTTGACTCAAAAACTCAGAACAGCTGATAATCTTCTTTAAATTAAATCTTTTTTTTTCATCTGAAATATTGCCAGATATTCAAATAGGAGGAAATTCATGACAAAGGGCAATAAGAGCAATACACAGTTGGCTTGTAGGGTTCCGCTGTACGAGTCCTGGATATTTGTTGCTGTTGTTGCTCCTGAGGTGCTGAAGTTTGTCATTCGCTCTGACAGAACAGACTCTCCTGTAAAACCATGCCTTAAAAAAACCCCACAAAACAAGAACATCTTGAAGTAACAGCCATTCCCATGGTGCTTAAAGCCTCAGAAGGACTTAACACTGCATTCTGCTATGGAGCTTATAGGACAGAAAACAGTTCTCCCCAGTATGCCTGGAACTGTGAACTGGTGCTGTTGTGTGGATGTCCTTTTGGATGTTCAGTGAGCGGTAGATTGAAGAATAAATGGTAATGTGTCAGAAGGAGCTAATTATAATAATGGCTTGGGGTCAGGTAAATGCTTCACTATTTATCTGACCCAACCACTGTTTATTATACTCCTTGTGTCAACACATTTTTACAGAGTGAAAATTAGCGACTAATTAATTTAATTTCAGGATTTAATGCCACTGTAAAGGAAAATAAGCAAGATTTATATTGAGTAGTGATTTTTCTAGAAGGGAGCACTATAAACATGGAAATGAAGAGTCTTTAAAAGCAGCTTTGAGTTGAATGGTGTAAAGATCTGATCCTGCAACCATTCATCAAGCTTCAGTTCATCAAACTGCACTTAACTTTAAGTATCTGGTCAAGTCTTGTTCAAATCAAAAGCACATGTTTAAATGCTTTCTGCACTGGGGTCTTAGACCCTGCTCAAGCAACATTTCTAACTTCGTCAAGCCTGCTTGCCTAGGGAGATGTGTCAGGGGGAAGGCCTAATTGCCCGTATTCCTTTCTCTACTGTCGATGCTCCTTTTTTCCATGACATTTCTGCTCTCTGTCAGTTAAAGTTCGGAAATGTCAGAATGTAAGACATGTTACCCAGACCTCTGTACAGATTTCGGGGGCACAGTTCAAGCAAGAAAATGAATGAAGGAGAATTTCTGAGGGAGTCTTCTTATTGCTTATTATATTTTTCAGCTCCCCAAAGTATGCAAGCTACTGTTTATCATTGATTCCTGACCTGTTTCAGCTAATGCAGTCTTCCTTGGTGTAACTCACAAAGGCACAGCAGCACCTTGTGTATATGGAGACAGTAATTCTTCACACTTTTATAGTCTTTTTAACCTGAAGACTTTCAATACTGCTGGGTTTGGAGGTTTGCCCATCTTTCCTGCTTTGTATCTTATGTTCTTAGATTGCTTTCCCCATTTTTCCTCCCCTCTATACTTTTATTCTTAAAGGAGGTTAGTACTGGAGAAGTTAAGGAATGCTCTTTCCAGGTCCTGGATGATTTCTTTGCTTTCAGTCCAAGCTCTACCAGTGGATGAAACTCCCTCTTCCCTGGAACACCAAAAGAGAGCTGTGGTGTGTCCCAGACAGATCCCCAATTCTGGATGAGTGAAGGTCCAGGGCTCCAAAGTGCACTGCAGGCTGCAGCTGGTGAACAACTTCCTGCAGTTTAAGTGGCTAGCCTCAGGAGATACAAGAAATCTGTGGCAGAGCTTAGAAAACAATCCAGATATCTTAGCTGTTCTTCCTCAGTCTTAGGCTTTAAACAGATTTCACTCCCAGTGCTGAATCATTGATTGCTGGGATTTCTGTTACCCTTTAAAATTATGGGCCACTGCAGCCGGAATCTCTGTTATTAGATGTATTTTTTTCTGATGATAAATTCAGGAAATATTTTAATAGCATGCAATTATCAGAACATGGCCACCAGTCTAAAACTTTTCTCCAATACCCTGCTAGTTTGGCACTGTGTAGCCAGCCTGGCTCTGTCTTGAAAGTCATCTTTTGTGTCAGACAGCAACTGCTGCAAGGGAAGTATGTACAGCTACAGCTTTCACCAAGACATGGACAGCTCTGAGGCTGGGGACTGAGGGGGCCATGCATAGGTCTTATGATCTTCCTTATTTCATTGGAAGAGGTCACAGAAGTCATCAGATTGACTGCAGAACAGTCCCTCAGAGCAATGCACCTTTTGTACTGAAGAACTGCTACTATTTTTGAAGCTGTGGTCCATGTGGAACACAAATCTTTCTTTAGCATGTATATCAGTGCATTAGAAATACCCTCAGGGGATGAGGAAAGGCTTCCTGTTCAGTGCAGTATTTCAACAAAATATTCTAAATTAGAGTAACATAAAACAGGCAAGAAAAGCCATTGTTGGGTTTTGTTCTTTATTTTCAAAAGCAACTCAAGGAGAAACTGAAGCGTGGAGATCCTTGACTGTAGTCAATGAATGTATTTTTTCTCATAAGGAGGTAAGAAGAAGAAAAAGATCAACGTACTGGAGGTCTGTGAATTCTTTCTACATTACAAAACTCATCAAGCTAAAATGGGTTGAGAAGGATGGTGCTGTAGAGACAGCACAGCAGACCACGGACTGTGTGTTTTAGAGGAGAACTTTGAATGTGCCCCATGTCCTCTGCTTCTACCACATGGGCCTTCCACAAAATCTATGCCCGTAAGATGGTCAGCCTGTGCAAAGTATAAAGGACTTTATACAGCATATATTACCCTCGTTCAAGAAGTATCTGCAAAACAGCCATCTACCTAAGAGGCAAATGTCCTAATATGCACTCAATAGCGATAGAAAATGGCCCTTTATTTCACATAAGTGAGTTACAAATGGAAAAACCTCTAAAAAATATACAGTCAGAGGTGTCCATAAAGTATTTTCTTCTACAGTCTCAGGAAATATTTTTCAATTGCAAATATTTTCCTTTTTACCGGTGCCATGCGGAAAAGGGCCCCACGTCATGAAGAGGTTGATCAACCCTCACCCTGCATGGGTCTCTGCTATGTCTTACAATAGGTTTGCTAGCAAGTGTCCCCTGCTGCAACCAGGTACTCTGCCTTCAGTTGCTGGCACTGGCCCCTGGGTAATGAACTAATCACAATCCTGCCAATCACCTGGCACTGCACCTGAAAGAGAGGTGTAAACTTCATGGAGGCCTGATCCTGAAATGACATTCCATATTAATCATGAGTGACCATCAATAATGGTCACTGTTCACTAAATCAGCTGTTAAATTCAGTCATCTTTCTCTTGATCGCTGAATGAAGACCATGAAGGCTCGATAAGGCTGAGCTTTGTTACTAGGCTTGTCTGACCACCAATGTGTGACTACTCAGAAGTGAGAATAAACCCAATATGGAAGGAAAAAAGCCCGCCAAACAAATGATCTTTAATGTCTAAAACATGCTCACTGGTTTTCAGACGTAGCACTACAAACTTTCTTTACAGAGTTTTAAATTAATTTAATTGCTTTTGATATCTTTGTACACAGGAACAAGAAAAAATATCAACTCTTCTGACTTCTGTGGCTTTTCCACGGGCTCCAGGTGTTCCTATAGGTAGGTCACCTTATCAGTCAATGCTTCATTAATAATATAATTTTTATTTCCACATTTTTTTTCTTTCTTCTTTGTATTGTGAGCTTCTGGAAAGCAAGGATTTTCTTTTGTCATGGTTTTGGAAGGCATACCAGATGTACAGTCTAATATGAATCTTCAGGTGTGACTAGAATAGAAACAAATAATAGTAAATTATTATGATTCATTGTTTTAGGCTATAGGGAAATGTACAGGAAAAAAATACCATGCTAAACTGACATGTTAAATCACTGGAAATGGACCCAGACTAAATTTTCAAAATCAGGGTAAGCCAAGGCTGTTGCTGGTTACTTCTTAATTAACTAAATGAAGCATGCACAGTCAATAAAGATCTAACTTTTGCAAGGTAAATAAGCTAGGACTTTTATGGATGCCAATAAAAGAAATGTTGTCTGGAAGATATTCATTACCTGAGTGGAAGATGTCTGTAGAGGCTATGGTCCAGAAAGTTAGTGGATTTAATGGCATGGGCACCGAGGATTGTGTAATAAAGTGCTGGTAACAGCAAAGAAGTAGCACTTCTTCAGTGCGAATATGTTTCATTAAACCAGCAGTAAATTGCATGGATTTTTATTGTTTCCTGGACTACATTAGCCAAGGTTTGACTAATGCTAGTGAGTCTACCCATTCATTTGCAGAACAGTAAGACTGGTTTACTGTTCCTCACAAGCTGAAAGGTACATCAGTAAAATGCACTTGGGTGCCTATTGTGCATGTGGAAAGGTGAAGAAAGCATTTGTGAACCAGCAAATTCTCAGGTATGTCTAGTACCCATTGTATGGTTAAATAAGAAAACTGGAAAGTCTTAACCTTTTCAGCTGTGGTTTATTCCCACCCCAACAGTGTTCTTGCAGTTTTGAAACTTTTTCATACTGAGACATGTTGAGGAGGAAGGAAGGAAGGACTGAAGTTTCTGGACAATGAAAATTATCAGCAGAAGCAGAAAAATGGTAGCGTGGTCAAGAGCAGCATTATGTACGTATGTCCTGGTATCACTTTAGAGTCATGTGTGCCCCTGCTTTTTGGTCAGACTGTGAGGAGGCTGATGACCTACCCTGTACCAGCTGTCTTTTAGAAACCCCCGTGGTGTCCAGGAGCAATGTAATGACTAAAGTTATTTCTCCAGGGGACAGATAGTTTGTGAATATGATAGCTGTTCAAGTGATACATGAAAGAGCGTGTGACTCAATATGCTCTAGTGGCTAGGCAGTTATTGTGCTGAAATAATCACTATTTCTAGCTTTTTTTACTTCTTTCTTGCTCACAGACATCCTTACACTTTTGCAGAGGGTGCAAAATTTTGCCTTCCTTTTTCAGCTTTGTTGAAGGTAAGGTAAGCCAATAGCAGGGCCAGGGCCAGGACCAGAACCAACATCCCATTAATTAAATCACCACCACTTCCAGTGTCTCCTGTTTCTTCCCAGTTGTTGGCTGAGGTGCTGATCTATACTCCTTTGGTCGTGTTTTAGGTCAACAAAGGTGTGCCACCCTGGGACCTTCAGTGCTTCCAGTTATCTAGTGCCTCATGTCTCATGGAAAAAAGGCATATCATCATGTAACCACCCATTTTGTCTCCAAATACAATGGAAAAAAGCTGGAGAAAGCTCAAGAAGATCAAGCAAGTTTAAAATATGGGTTACTGATCAAAACCAGATGTGTGATTAGTGTTTGGGGCACATCTAGATACAAGGATTCCATAATAAATGTGCATGTAAAAGGCCTATAGGTGCTGAAATAATACATAAAAGAATGACAATTAATTGTGTAATTGATTTTATTTTAATGATTTTTTGAATCTCCCTCACCTCTTGTAGCTTCTCCTGCAAATGGATAATGCCTGGCAGAATTTGGGGACTATTAGGAAACTAACAGTACATTCTGCATTAGATGACAAATGGCTTGTATGATTTTCCAGCTGAAGTATGCAGAGCTGTGGAACAGTTAAATGTATGTTAATAACTTTCCTCGGTTCTTACCTGGGACGTTTTGTACCTAGGCTGTCAAACAATCATTTGAAATCATGTGTTGCTCTTTTGATGCTAAAGTGGGGGCTAGTTCTGCTTAAATTTTGCATCATACCCATAGGAATATTATGCATCCAAGAAAAAGGTAAAAATGGCTACGCCAACTTCAGTGTTGCAAAACTGTTGGCTGTTCATCTTCTGCCACTCCATAACTGTTCTAGTACCTGTAATCAGAGTGCTAAGATGAATACCTCTTTTTGTCTGGGTGGATAAACATTGATGAAAATTGCATAATAATCTTAAAAACTAGAGAGAATGTTTTAGTTACTATAGCAGGGCAGATTTAGGATCTGCCACTGAAATTGTACTGCGCACATGAGTAACTGGTCTTATGGTGTGACTCAGTTGCTAACTGTTTATTTCTGATAACCCTAATATTTACAGTTTCAGAGCCTTTGTGGGATCCATTATTTTTACACGGGCACTTACAAAACTTCTTGAATAAATCTTGACTGCAGGCTTAAGAGATGCTCTTCAGACTGTCTACAGCTGGTGTCCAGTTTGGCTGCCGTGGTTGCTGTTTCCCAACAAGTGAACTGAGACTCAGGACATGCCAGCAGTAAGTAATGAAGCCTCACCAACTCCTTTAAAGGTAGATGCTCTAGATACTGTGGCATTTGAAGTTATTCTGATATAGGCTACCTGAATATGATCATATTGCCCCCCCTGATATAAGTGGAAATGGGCCTACATCGAAACTGTGGTATTGAGGCTGCCCTATTTTAAAAACTTTTTGGAAAAGACCCTACAAATATGAGTAATTATATTTTGTTGTGGAGAACTAAAAACATGGAAGCCTCTTATTCGCTTTTCTCCAGATCACTGATTTAAGAAGAAAAGGTTATCTTTCTTCCTATCCTTGGCCTCTGGGGAATTCATGTTCATTTTTAGTTAATAGCTGAAGCACTAGTGCAAATGCGAGTTGTGTCCCCGCATCTATTAAGATATAAATACCCGCCCTTTTCTCCCTCCTGTGGGTCACTATTTTAAAACAGGCAGTCGTAAATTTAACACCCAAGGTGTTGTGAGTGGAAGACTAAATGCAGGTGAAATAAAACCTACAGTTGAGCTTTCAAAAAAAGCTTAATTTTCTGATAGTTTTGTGATGAAACTGAAAATGAAAGAATTGCACCTCTGCTGTTGGAACAGAAGCCTCACTCAGAGCATGACATGGCTTGCTGACATGTGCTGACTACACAAACAACTCTATTTCTTCTTGCTTCAGCCTCTTCTTTTCATCTTTGCTTGAGGCAAAAAAAGTAATCGTGAAATACTTGCAGAAAATTAGAAGAGCTTCAAAATCCATGTGCATACCTTGGCCAGATAAATGGAGTATCGTTGTAGCTCAAATTTTGTTTGCGTGAAAGATTCCATTGAAGGTTATAGGTGATGTTTCCAGGGGATTTCTTCAGCACCTTGAGCCCCCATTATGTTCTTGGAAAGGTGAGACATTTTGGGTGATGATGTTATTTCTTTTTTTAAGCAAAAAAATTCCTATTTCATGCTCTTAAAAGCTTTGCTTCTTAGTGAAACTCTGGAATGCGTATTGATTCTCTTTCTTCTCTCAGAGGCAGAGGTGTTCTTATTCTCTGAATCCAAAATAATACTCCTAGTAACCATGACGGTCTGGAGAATATATACTGAGACAGGTATATAAAGAAAGATATAGATGTCTTATTAGGACAACTGAGTTGGGAAAAGATGATTGGGCTTTCACCAACAAATCAGATCAGTGATGTCTTAGGCCATGTCTGGAGCTTTTGGCTGCTGCAACTTTGCACCACAGTCCAGGATGCATCCAGATTATTTGGGTATTGCAGTGATTTCATTGTGGTATGGAGAGGCCTCCCCTCAGAGACTGAAGAGCTGTTGATATTAACCACTTTATTCTGAGGCCAAGGGCTCTGCAAGCTCTTCATTGTTGTCCTGCCAACACTTTTTTTTTTGTCCTATGCTTCTCTGGAGAGCACAGACTATCTCTTCAGACTCCAGTGCTGATATCACTAAAGATTTGGTGGTGTTGTGTAGCCACTTACTTATTCATTATTACAGAACATGTAACTTTTATTTCTGTTGCTTTTTAAAGCACTTTGAGAATTATTATGAGCATTGTGTGAATTCAGCATTATTTTTATCAGTTATATATACAATTTTACACAAGAAACTCAGATCACTGTTAACATTTCACACATTTGACCACCGTGTTGCTCTCTAATGATTCACAAGTAGTTTGACTAAGATATGAATCAGTAACTAATAAATACCATTAATCTGTCAGTCATTAGAAATCTTGTCTTCTTAATTGTTCGATGATCTGCTTGTTAAGAAAATCTAAGGGCTTTAAAGTTTTCAAAAAATGTAAATCAAATAAAAAACTTTTAGCCTTTTCAGATGATGTAGCCATCAACTATTAGCAAACTTATTATCCCTCAAAACCAGAAAAATTGTACTTTAGTTATCAACACACATTTAAACATAGTTGGGACTAAAATGTTCTCCTTAGTTAGTACCTTTGGGGATACATCTGCAGCTTGACCTCACCATGTCTTTTTCTATATTGAGCTAGTTTTGATGTTTTAATAGGCACGATATTACAACTTCACACTGTGACATAATATTTTGCCTTCAAATACATACACATAGGCAACACAAGGGACTGTTTGTTATCTTCCATGCGTAAGAACAAGTGCAACGTAAGATAAAATTGGAAGCAAAAATCTTAGGTAGTAAACTGTGTTTTCTTCCTCCTGGTTTTTCCTGATGAAGTTCCTGATGAAGGAAAAGTACACAAGTTGTTTGTTTGTTAGGTTTCCAAGCTGCCAATATATACAGTAGAAAAAAAAATAAATAAATCAAACTTCTGACAGGTGCAGAAAGAGAGAGCTCTGAGGCAAACTCTGACTCCCCAGGGTATTTCAAAAATTTTCCTCTTGCCAGACCCAAAATAAAATTCAATCTCTATGTCCAAGAAAATAAACAGTTCTGTTGACTTGCCAGATATCAGGGCTTGTCTCGGAGTTTTTATGAGATTCATGTAGCTGAAATTCAGATATTTCCTTTACCATAGATACTGGGCTGAAATGATACAGTTGTGGGAGAAAGGTAACATTGCATTTTGGAAAGCAAAGGTTTTAACTTATGGCAGCTGATTGACACGAGCTGTTTCAGTGACACCTGAGGAAGCATGCTTCAGCAAGCATGTCTCAATTCTTATTTCATCCCCTGTCCTTTTGCTTGGTGCTATTCCCTATCTTCTAGTCCTTTTCCAACTATCCTTTTCTTTCAAGTAACTGCCACTAAAAATTCCAGTCCAGACAAAACTGTCTAAATATGTGTAAAATGTTACAATGATTGGGACATGTGAATGCATGGGGAAGATGGTGGAGGTGGGGTGAATACTTACCTGCATGAGAAATAGTCACAGCAGTACCATGGTGTATGTCTTGGCCATCTATTGCCCAGCTGTAACCATACAAAGAGTGCTAGGTTTGGTGATGGCAAGTTGCATAGCCCCTACTAACATGTCCCTTAGTGGTAGCTTGTGCTGTGAAGGGATGTGCTGCTTGGCTTGGAGCAGTAGTAGGATCTCCATTACGGTTTGGAGGAGCCCATTCAGCTCCAGTTGCCTGACCCTGTACATGAAGCATGGCTCAGGGACCTTCCAGATGGCCACCCCAATCCCATATGCCTCAACTGACATGCTAGTACAGCCATAATTGTACCCACTGTGTTTTAAATCTCAGTTTTGAGGAGGTAATCCTGGTTCTATCACAAAATCTCATAAATTAAATTGAAATCGGTCACATTTATGACTGGTTGTTAAAATGCTGTAAGTGTTATGAATTTATGACACTGTGCTCATATTCAGCTGTTCACTGCTTCTGCTTCTAGGTCTTTTTCTCCTATGTGGGATAAAATTTATATTTGTGGGTGAGATCATTATAAATCTTTTATGTACCACAAGTGCAATTTTAAATGTTTGCAGGCATGGAGAACTGTGCCCATGAGATATCAACTATATTTCATGGGTTATTGCTTCATAGAACTGACAAAAAAAGAGCTTTGCAACCAGTTTACACTCACACACACTTCTTAAGTTTACATGTTTGACCTTTAAAAGCTGGTAGGCAGCATGAAATGTGCAACTTAGGAAATAAAATGCTACATGGTTCATATTTTACTTGGATGCCAGTTTGCCATGTTCATTTTCTTTCAAAGCAGCTTCTCAGAAGACTTGCCCGTGCCCAGTCCTCCAAGGCTTCTTACTGATTCCAGTTACAATTGGACAAGTTCCTCAGGAGTGAGTGTAGTTCATAGATACCTTTGCATAAATCAGTGATGAAGCACAGGCCAGCAGCGATGAATGCGTGGCTCACACTTCATGCAAGCCACTCTGAGTTCTGTAGCCCTCACACTGAGCATTCCTATCACAGTTGCTAGAGATGATATATTTAAAAACATGCGGTACAGAGGAATATATTTTTCAGAAAAAGGTTGTTTGGTTTTATTTCTGTGTGGAAAGATGGTACTAGAATTGGGTGATCTGTTAATAGATGACAAGCTCTGAGCTAGGTCTTAAGGGTGGCATTAACTTACAAGAGCACTTGGAAGAAATTGCGTTGAGAGGCTGGGAAGCCTGGAGTTTCCTAGCTTTGTAGCTGGACTACCAGAACAAATAGATTCACTTCTTTGAGACTTACCTAGGCATGGATTTACCAGGGGAAGAGAGGCTGGAGGAGCTTTCTATCCTCTCTCTCTTTAACTCTGATTGCCAGATACCCATGGTGCACTGTGCAAGGTGCTTGCTCTTTCCTGCTTCCTGGCCCGTATCGCAGAGTTGGACCATTTACCATGCCAAGCAGCACTGGTGAGAGCTGTCCTCTACAATGCCTCTCCACAGTGCTAGGGACACATCTCTGAGACATGACTTAGTTTGAACATCTACAGGCTTCATTGAAGGGAGGGTGTCAGGAGGACGGGGCTGGTCTTTTCTCACTGGTGCCCAGTGACAGGACAAGAGGAAATGGGCACAAACTTGAGTATAAGAAGTTCCACCTAAACATGAGGAGAAACTTCTTTACTATGAGAGTGGTAGAGCACTGGAACAGGCTGCCCAGAGAGGTGGTGGAATCTCCTTCTCTGGAGACATTCAAAACCTTCCTGGACGAGTTCCTGTGCAATGTGCTGTAGGTAGACCCGCTCCGGCGGGGGGGTTGGACTAAATGATCTCCAGAGGTCCTTTCCAACCCCATATGATTCTATGATTTGCTCCATCTTGTTATTCACCTCATTTGCCCAGTTTGGACAAAAGGCTCCTGGAGATCCTATGACTGTTCCTTACTGTGTGTTACTGCTTTTGGTATCCAGTGTAAATACAGTAAGTAAAGATAATTTGATGAGATCCTTGTATCCTTCATACCACTGTGATGAGTTTGGGAAGTACCAACTAGCTCCAGGGAATATTTCTTCATGTTTCACCTATGAATTGTCTATGTATTGTGTTGGATATTTGGTAATTCAAGTATTATTTTCCTTTATTTAACAATCTATGCAATCTCT